TTCCGAGTATGGGTCACCATACTTGGCCACATGTCACGTCACGTTAATGTGGGTCAATGACATTTGTGCTACATGTTCATCTGGATCAGCTCTGTAGTGTTAGCATTACACAAAAGGGTTTCACTTGGCGTTACAATGCTACAAAATGATATTATAAAATGTAAGCACAAATGTTTATTACTAGAAATATGATTGAAATTTCACAAACAGCTGTGAAAGGTGATCAACCTTTTTTTTACGGGTTTTTTTTTCCCTTGTGCGAAGGGTTAATAATTGTATTATTGTTATTATCTTGATTATAAACTCTTTTACCAATGTGTTCTTTTTTTTTTTTGTCTTAAGCTAATACCATGGATAACCAGAAGCTATTTAAAAGAGGGTTACATGGAGAAGACTGGCCCACTGGTAGGAGTTTTCCCTCATAGATGGTTCTCTCTATGTTGATTCTTTGCATATTTTGAAATCGAGATTTTCCAGTGTAGCAAGGTGTTTATATTTGCCCTTAAATTGCACAAGCATTTAAGGATAAATCAGGCTATTGTAAAACACTCCTTAAACACCTCTTTACACATTCAGAAAAAATAGTACACCATTACATGTTGAACCGCTCTGTCCATTTTTTTTATATATTTCCAACATCTGTATAGTTCTGCATGTGCTATTCTATTATAACATTTCTTTATTGTGTTTTATTGTCCTGCTGCATAATGCAGAGTATGGTCGCTTGTAAGAGAACTAAATCGTTTTCTACCACTTACTGTATGTTGAGCATGTGACAAATGCCAAAAGTCTGAAACTTTTGAAAACCCTGGCTGTTTGTGTATGTTGAACAGCAGCGAGAGCCTTTCAAGAAAAGATGGTTTATTTTGGATTCCCTGGACAGGAAACTACTCTATTTTAAAACACGGCTGGTATGATTTGCTTTTTTCCATTCTTACTGTGTCAGTGTTGGCTGTTTTTAGTTCACAAAACTCTAAACTTGAAACCCGAAAGTGTCTAATGAATTTGAAAGCATTTCTGCTACTTGAAATTGTAGAGGGAGTAATGTGAATTTTCTCCTTCTTTTTATCCTAAAGGATGCCATTGAGCTTGGGGTAGTGTTCATTGGCTCAGAGAATCATGGATATTCAGTGAGAGAGTGTGTCCCTAAAGGGACGAGAGGCAACAAATGGAAGTGTGGGGTAATTGTGGAGACGCCAGATCGGCAGTTCGTCTTCATGTGCGAGCAGGAGCGCGATCAGAGAGAGTGGGTGGAGGCCCTAAAAACCGTCATCTCCAAACCCATGATGCCGCAAGATTACACCAGTAAGATTATAACACTTTTGATCAGATGTGCTAATTAAATATTACAAAACATAAATGAGGTGTTAAAAAATAACACTCTGTCTCCTTTTCAGCTGAAGCCAATATCCGTAGACGGAGGTGAAGACCATGACTGCACGGGACAATAAGCTCAGACTCTGTCACTAAATCTATTTAAAATGAACCCTGACATGCTAGGTAAATCTAGGGTTAAAACGTTTGAGTCCTAGGCACTCAAAGGGAACCGTGGAAGAATGTGACTCTTTTGGGGGGCATTGTTTCCTAACAAAAACAGTTTTAAAAAAAAGTCTCTCTTGGTGCATTTTGGGATGTGAAACCAATCTGAGAAGACTACTGGTCAGATGAGGACAGACTGACTGGTTGAACTCTCTGAGGAGCACAAAGGATATGACTGCATCTGAAGATGGATAAGATGTGGCCTCTCAATACAAGTAGAGATCTAGAAACAAGCCTTGACCAAGATGAGAATCGCAGTGAGAGGTCAATCAGACTCACATGTGACTGTGAGTCCACATGCAGGAACTGAGACACCAAACAGAAGCAAAACAATAAGGAATTATGCTTGTACAGAAATGGACACATGCAAGTGACATGAAGTGTGTGATGAAAATGCTAATCGTAAAACACCTGGGTTTCATAAACTGACATTTGGCCAGTTTTTATTTTGTGATAATCATATGGGCGACTGAACAAAGCTGACTTGTTTTGATGTTCACAGTTTATATTAAAATCTATTTTCAAACCACATATTACATCAATACTAAGTTTGAAAAGCCCATTATCTTCTGTTGCGCTTTTTGTTGCTAACTTGGTGGATGTCATTTTCTTCACTGACTAATAACTTTAGCATTATGTTGATATTGCTAGATTGCTATTTATTGAAGTGTATATTATATTTATTATAGTGATGTAATAACAGTTTTACAGATAACTGACCCAAGAGGCTATCATTCCCAGCAAAGTACTGTGGACAATTTGTAGCCTGGATCTTAGATCAGCTTTCAACAGTGATGGTTGTACTTTTTGGTGCTTTCTTGTTAATGTTGTTCAGCAAAGACAAACTTTTACAAGTGAAGCAGAAAAGTGAAGTCATTTGAAGTGCAACCCCACAAATATATGGTTTAGGTAATCCTTTAGTTATTGGTTTTGAATTAGGTATCTTTTTTATTATTATTGAACGATATCAATTTACACACTTTTTCCATAATTGCATATCCAGTCATACATAAATATCTGTGTATATATCTACACACAATAAACAACAAACAAAAAAACATTCTTTAAACATTTCAGGGGGTGGCAAGGAGAAAAAGGAAAAAAGGTACAAAATCCTACAATTTTTTTTTTTACTTAAAAAAAAAAACTTATGCAGCAAAAGAACAAGTACAAATGCAAAGACAAACAAAAGACAATGAGGGTTATGTACATTAGCCTAATCCAAAGCACACTATGAAGGGGTCTTGCATGCAATAGAATTATTGGAATTTCTTAAAGAGTTTACACATCAAAATCTTTCCTAAAAACAAAAAGGAAGGTGTCATCTCTGAAAATGTACATTTATGAATGTAAAATTTGGACAGAAATAGCAATAAATTAATAATACATTTAAAGTGAGAAGTGTCTATATTCAAAGAGTAACCAAAAAAACAATGGAGAATGCAGAAATTTTGATATAGATATTTTTTTTTTACAAAATTGGAATCTCACCATGCTTAAAAGGACATTCGTTTTTGAAACAATTTAAAGAGGGTTTACTGTTATTCCACTTACTTTTATGTATATGGTATTTACCCATTGTAATAATAATGTTTAACATCAATAACTTCTTTTTTGAAAGACCCTCTGCATAAACCAAAACCTGAAATAAATTTAGTGACGGAATATCAGTATCAATATCAATATTTAGCCGGCTGTAAAGATCTTGCCAGAGGTGAAGCATAACACGCGTTTCCTCTCCAGTCCTACAGGAGGCGCTATAACATCTCATCTGCGAACGGTAAACAGAAAATGCCAGCGCGAGGAGATCCGTGTTTGTCAGTAGCTGCGTTCCGTAGTTACCGGTTATTGGAGGTCAGCCGTTTCTGGCGTGAGCTTGAAATGTGAACCGAGAAATGTTATGAAGTGAATCTGAAGAAAGAAAGCAAGCAGTGCCTTCATAGATGCGGAGTCGCGTTGTCTCACTGGCATGAATGACCTGTGTGTGTAAAACTGGTGTGAGCAGAGGCTTTATTCAGACTGACACAGGCAGGAGTTGATCCGTCCGTTTTGCCCTACAGAGGCCTGCGCTATTGCATATAGCTGCAGGATCAATGATCTACGACAAAGCACTCGTTCGGTTTTTATTTTGATCACATCAAAGTTGCAACGATGAGAAAGGACGTGAGGATATTACTTGTCGGTGAACGTAAGTGAATTGATTCAGTTCAATTGTGTCAAATGGCTGCTGTTAGTCGATTGATTTGCATATCTCTAAATGGTCGATATGCGCTGCTGTTCACTATTACATGCACAGTAACATCCTTCCATTCTATATTTGAATGTTTTTGCAAACGTTTTTTATTCAGCCATATGAGATTAAATTGACAAGTGACAGAATGAAAGATATTTTCCCAGAAATAACAGGTATTAAGCTTTCTACATGTTTTCAAATGTTGTCCAAACTGACTGCAGTCGTTAAAAATGTTATGTTAATACACATGCCTGTGTATTGTGTGTAAAATAACCCAAATAATAGCAGTTTGTAATCATAACCGAGCAGCTCAGCAGGCTCCTTACGGGTTTGTTGTTAGTTTTCACCCGTGTTTATCAGAGTTGTTTATAACAGTTTAGGAGCAGCTCTCACAGGCCTCCAGACTGTCAGAGCTGCCAAAGTTTAGAAAGGTCAGCCAAAATAGTACGTGTCCATGTAAACGTACTGCTCACCAATGCCAAACCATCAAGCTTCAGACCCCTCAGCCTGTCCATTTAATATTTCTGCCCCACTTTATATTAGGTGGCCTTAACTACTATGTACTTACATCAAAAATTAAGTACAATGTATTTATTGTGTTCATATTGTATTGCAAAACACTTTTGCTGCTATTGAGGTGGGATGCATGTAAGGTTAGGCACAGATTTGATGGTATGGGTAGGTTTAAGAGTGGGTTAAGGTGTAAAAGAGGGGTCAACAGTGTAATTATAAATGTAATTACATGCAGGTATTTTTAAAATATAAGTACAATGTAAAAACATGTATGTACACAATAAGTGCATTGTGCCAAATTGTTAATTTAAATGCAAGTACATAGTTGTTAAGGCCACTTAATATAAAGTGGGTCCATTATTTCTATTTAGTCATTATTGATGTGTGACATCTTACAGGTGTTAAGATTTAGATGGGAACATTCAGAAGATAACACTGATCACTCATCAGTGCGTTTTTATATTTGGAAATATTAGAACCAGGGTTATTGTTATTAACGTAAACTAAACTCATGAATTGTTACTTAAAATAAATGTTAACTAAAATTTAAAAAAATAAACCGTTTTTATTTTAGGTAGATGACAAGGCAGCATTTCTCATTGTCATTTGATGTACTAAATAGGGATGTAACAATATGAAGATTTCTTATCACGATTATAGTGACCAAAATGATCACGGTTATCAGTATTATCACGGTATTGTTAAAATGTGCTGGATGTGTTCAAAAAGTACCGACACATAAATCACTTCACCAAGTTATATATCTAAAAATCAACAAACAACAAATAAAATGACTTTTTGTTTGCATAATCACTAAAACAATAACATTACCAATGATGTTTGAATTTTAAATGACAACTTGACTGACAACAGTTTAATAAGCATGTTGAAATATCTCATGTAAATGTTCAAATAAAGCTTGGAAAAAATTTCATAAAAAGGTAAACCTCACATTTTAGCCTTTAAATAAAGAAAAGTTAAGTCAAAATGATAATTGATTAATAAATTAAGTATTTTATCTGCTCCATAAATAATTCTAGATAACTTATCTGAATTGTTTAAATGTGTAGAATCCACATAAGCTTGTTTTTCATCAACCGGTCAAAATTTACAGCAGGGCATGCAAATGCGTGCTGTGCGCACGTGACACTGTTACTTAAAACTGCGCTTTATGCTGGACAATATTTATTTATCGCCAGTTGTTCAAATCACGGTAATCTAATACGGTTTTAATGATAATTAAGAGATGAAACGGTAATACTAACCGTGGGGAATTTTATCATGATTCATCGTCAAACCGGTAATCGTTACATCCCTAGTACTAAAATAACTTAAACTGCAATAAAAATTATGTAGACACATTTTAAAAAGAAACAAAAAATTGACTAAAACCCAACAAAAATCTTTGAAATTAAAATGAAAACAAATTTAAAATATTAATAAAGCCTATAACAGCTTCTCAATGATTTCAAAATAACACTAATCAGAACTTGCCCATTAGCTTTTTTTTATTTTGTATTTTTTGTAGTTTACAGTTTACATAAATGTTTATGTAAAAGATAATAAAAGTTTTCACTTTTTAAAACAAGTTTTGTACAGTTTGCTAGTTTATTTTTATATTGTGGTGTGACGTGATTTTTTTGCAAATAGTCTTTATATGAGGTCATAACATGAGGTAATAAAAGCTGCATGGTTGATATTGAAATTAAACAGTTCAACTGGAATGTGTGAACTACCCCTTTATAAGGGCGCTCATCTTGACAGGCATGTTTCTGTTAATCATTTGGTGCTATTAATAGAGCACAGTGGTCATTGTGGACTTCTTTTTCTTCACAGCCAAAGTGGGGAAGACCTCCCTGATCATGTCACTCGTCAGTGAGGAATTCCCTGATGAGGTACAGTCATTCACTGAAATGACTCTTCACGTTCTGAGTGCACATGCATTGCATTAGTATTGTGTTTCTCATGCTTGTGTTGTGCATCTCATGAAAGGTTCCTCTCAGAGCTGAAGAGATCACTATTCCTGCTGATGTCACACCTGAGAGAGTGCCCACTCATATAGTGGACTATTCAGGTACTTATACACGTACATCACTGTATGATGAGACTCATATGGCCTGCATTGCTGTTCTTATGTCAATGCCGCAAGCCTCTCCTAAGGTACTTATTCCTTTAGTTTTTAATTCTCTTCTTCCATATTTCTGATCCCACAGAAGCAGAACAGTCAGATGAGCAGCTTTACCAAGAAATATCAAAGGTGGGGCTGGTTTTAGTCTCTTTGCTGACACAATTTAGTTTAATTTTATTGTTTTATTCACCTCCCTTGTGTTTTCTCTCTTGGCACAGGCCAATGTTATATGCATCGTATATTCAGTAAACAACAAGAAATCAATCGAAAAGGTAAGTCTTGTTTCCTTGTATGCCAAACACAAAAATGCACCAGCCTGTAGTTACCAATCCAAATACATGTCTTGCTCTATAACTTAACTTAACTTAGTTTTTTGTTTGTATAATGTAGCTTTTACTTGTGCAATGTGAATGGTTCTGCTGTGTCTCATCATATTGGCGTGCTGTAGGTGACGAGTCATTGGATTCCCCTCATCAATGAAAGAACAGATAAGGACAGCAGGTGTGTGGCGTCCTGCCAGGTTTTTAAACTTACTGTTTTTGAAATATGTATTCTATTAAATAAGGTTATGACACCAACATTTTAGATGCAAGTCAAATGTCACAATTCTTGATTTCAATTTTAATGCTGCAGCAAAAAATACTAGCCTAACACACACACACACACATACACACACACACATATATATATATATATATA